CCCCAAAACCCCAAAACCCCAAAACCCCAAAACCCCGAGTACTTGTGAGGCAATTGAAATGTGTGTAACGAATAATGGCTGCTGTTGATAGAATTAGATAGCAACATATTATACTTCATTTTAACTGCTGTAAGTCCCTGAGATTTAACTACTATGTTTAGACAAATGTACCTCTTACTCTACAGAAGTTTGTATTTTGAGGTTTGCATCTAAAGGAAGTTTGGGTTAAGTCCAACAGGAAATTAAAACCAGAAGATATTTTAATTAGTACTTACCTCTTGTTGTACTCTGCTCAGAACCTTCCTTTGGAGTCTGAACACCGGCCCTTACTTGCTTGAGACTAAAGTTATCATCACACTCAACCCTTGCAGCTTTTTGCTTACTCTAGATTTGACTTGGTAGTTATCATATTGTTATTCTCATTATTTCTTTTATTTTTGTTCGCATTTACTAAAGATAAGAAATGCTTCAAACCTTTATGGACTTTCTTGGGCTTAGCTCCATACTTGTTTAGAGATTTAGAGAGTCTCTTTCCAATATTTTCATGGGTCTTCGATCCAACTTTCATTCGAGGAAGCTCTAAATTGTTCATCTCTAAATTTACTGGATTCCAATGGTTTTCTTTGATTGTTAGGTTTCTTTTTGTGAAAAACCTTGCTTACTTTGCTCTCGATAGACTTAAAATGTTTCATACTCCTTTTAGTATTGAGGTTTTTGGGCTTTAAGACATTCTTGTTCAATATTTTTCCTTTATTGTCGATCTTCACAGTATTGATCATCATGTCTAACTGTAAATTGCTCATGTACAGGTCATCTTTTACACGAGTTAGTTCCTATTTTTCTATGGTTAAAATTGGCAAAACTTTGGTGTATAAGAGTGATGCATACCTTCATGCGAGGATCGCCAGCATATTTCTTCTCCAAATTCTTGATCCTGTTATCTCTCAACTTTTGAAATCCGGTTAGGTGATGCTCTGTTTCTAAATTCTTCTGAGATTGCCTCTTGATCGTCCTTTTTAGGAGGATATCAAAATCTTTATTTCTTATTTTGTGAATTTTGTTCCTTTGATTTCATTATTTCAAGCTGTTGTTTGAAGACGGTGTGGCCTGGAGCGAACTTGTTCAAAATTGAGTTAGACAACACTCTCCAGGTAACTAAAGTTGGTCAAGATGAGAGATAAAATTCACCATTGGACGGTTTGGTACAGACAAGATGTGGAAATGGACATACCTGCTCCTTTCTTAGTGAAATTCACTCCAAGATCGGTATTCACAAAGAGTTCAGAGATGCCAGTAAGCAATTCACTTGGGTCCTTTCAGATTGCCACCGAATTATTCCGTTTGTTTTTAAGAGTTTCCCTTTGAGATATTTGGTTAGGATTTTCATCTACGCTTTTTCTAGCAGTTTGAATAATTTTGGATATCTTATAATCATCGAAATTATTGTTTGTGCGTGACTCACTTGCTCGTAGTTTTGTACTACGAGAAGTTTGTCTTGAAGCATCTTCCATATCTTAATATTAAAATAAAGCTTTCAATTATAATCTAAATAAAAGGGGTTTTGGGGTTTTGGGGTTTTGGGGTTTTGGGGTTTTGGGG